ACTCAGCTAAGGGTATTAAGCCCCACAATTATGTCATGATAAAGCCCCATAAATTCTGCCATGATAAAATTCCAGTGCTCCCAGGAACTTTTTTAGTCTCACTGCATGTATTTCCTCCTCCTCTGTGCAGTATAGTCACTCTCAGCCACATTTCCAATGCATAATGTTTCTAGAAGTTTTGAACGCTGGTTTTAGGCAGCTCAGAACTGAAGAGCCAACAGCAGTCATTACTTTTGATTTCATCTCAGTTTTGTCTGGTAGTACTCCAGCTGTCAAAGGGCGGCAAAATTACTCTTTCTCTGCAGAGGAGTGCCATAAAAATAAATTAATATATAGTTGCAAAGCTATCATCTATTTTAGTACTGAGCACTGGAGCAAATCTCTTGAGGAAATTAGTTCTGTCATCAGAATAGGGTTTAAGTAGCGTGCAATTGATATGGCAGCAGGCCTTGAGCATCAAACGGTGAAGGTGATGCAAAATACTTCCATGCATGAATCAAGTCCCCTGGTCATTGTGCTGAAAAAGGCAGGATTCCTTTAGGAAACCAAATATATGCTTGTGCAATGAAAGGAAAACAAATGCGTGCTTTTGTAACCAAAGACCAATGGCACTGAGAAGTGTGCACATCATAGAAACTTCACTTTTCAGCTCTTTCAGCCATGGTTACACCTGGTTACAGCCAGATCATGGGTTACAGACAATGATCTAGCTGCCTTAGGTAATGCCTTAGGCCTTACCTAAGGCAGCTAGATCGTTAAGACTGGCTGCCTTAGGTGAAGACTTTGCACAGAAGGTGATCTGCAGGATCACCACCAGAACATCTAACAGATTATCTCCTAGGGTGATATGATCCATGAATCCGGTTTTAACAGATCTGTGCATTATCTTTGAATATCGAGTAACTTGGAAATTGTGAACCTTGAGCTTCATCACCACACTGCAGTATAAGCCAGTGTTAATAGCATACAGTATTACTTCATACAAAGTATTAGCCAGCCACCACAGAAAAATAACTTTCAGTATGACTCAACAGAATTGGAATGTGTGATTCTGCAATTCAAGCTTGATGAAGACCACTGACAAACTTTGGGACAATTACAAGTCCTTAGCTACCAAAGAAAAAAGATTTTGCTACCATGGACTTTTCTCGGATGTTTTCTGTGATCCAGTCATATGACACCCAGTTCAGGTTCCATTGCAATCAGTTAAAAAAAAAAAGAAATCATATTAATATTGTATCCTTGATCTGCCAGCTTCCCAGTTTCCCCATCTGCAGGGTAGCAATAAGCAGGCAACATTTGATGGTAGCTGAGTGCTTTGAGATCCTTGGATGACAAAGGCCAAAATCTACAGTATTTTTTGGTCTTGTGACAGAATGGATTTCACTTACACAACATTATTCGGAGAAGTGTGTTAAGTTATTTGCCTGTACATGCTAACAATGACAATAAATCACTCTCCTAACCTCACTGAGACAACGAAGCGATATTTACAGATTATAGTGTGGATAAGGAAGAAATACTGTTCCCATCACTACAGTAGAGGATCTGTCAGCACTTCCATTACCATACTTCAATTCGGTTTGCAAGCCCAATTTGAGTACCATTACCAAATAGACTGCTATTTTTCATCTTTATTCATGTTAAGTGAATAAATAATGGAAATTAAAATTGTTTTTGTTTTCCCATAACTAAAATTGGCTTGAAGTTCAAACAATGAAATTTGGAAAGCAATTCAATTTGTCCAAAAGAAAGAGATAATGTCAAAGGATTGGCCACTTTGCATGCTTAGAATTCAATCTCACCATCATGCATCTAGATCTGTATTGACATGATGATATACCAGAAAAAATAATACTCCTGTGGAGCTCTTCCAATTGCTCTGATACCTAGCATCATTTTTTTTAAATGCTTAAATACACATTAAATACACACTTAAACACATTGTGTATTTTCTGGGTGGTCTTTGGGTTAAAAAATATGCTTTCAATAACTTTCCCTCAAATACATATTTTTTATTTTAATAAAAAAGAGGAAATTAAACACAAAAAACCCTATGTTATTTTAACGTTGAGGTTTCAACAATAATGAAATTGAAATTTAAGCTTGACACACCATTTTAACTCATTCAACAATGTATTTCTAAGAAATGCCAATAATGGGATGAGTTAAAATGAATAAATCAGCCCTAAATGAAAACTCCTAAGTTATGCTTCATTCCTGAGAAATACGTGCACGTGAAGGATTTCCCCGTTATGATAATGTGGAAAAATAAACCCCAAAAAACTTGTGAGCTTGAAACTGAAGTTCACTTGATAGTGTGCAAGCTTTGTTTTCATGGAAAGGGTGTGCGAGATGCCCCTCTTTGCTGGCCATTCCTTGGAGCTCCTGAGTGCAAATTTTGTTCAGCATGACTGAAGCAAATATGTTCTCTCTCTCTCTCTCTCTCTCTCTCTCTCCCTCTCTCTGAGAAGGCCTTGCCTTCCATTATGGGGAATGGGATGAGGCAACCTCTTATGCTGCTCTGGTCGTGTCTGTGTCTTTCCGGATGTGATGCTCACAGTGCTTCATGCCACGTATCTCTAAGAGGTGGTATCTGACTGCTTGTTTGCATTTCACTGTGTGCTAAGGTCTGTTAAAAGCATCTCACATTCATTTGAAAGGCTGTAGTGGAACTGTGAAAAGGAAAGTCAGGCTGCTTGCCTTGGTTTGGCTGCTGCATTGAATAAATACAACCTGGACAGAGAAGAGAGAGGGCACTTTTCCTGCAGTCTGCAGAAGTAGGCATTGTGTGAGGAAAGGACTTTTTAAAGATACAGCTTTGTGGCAGAAGCATAAACCGATGACTGGAAGATGAGGGAACAAACTATGAGCCCTGGCTCAGTCTTTTGAAAAGAGACTGCAGATTCAGAAGCCTCTGAAAAATATGTAGAAAGGTGGGAAAACATTCAAATGTAGAATTTAGGTGTGTATCTCTCCCTCTACACTCACACTTACTGACCTTGTAATGTTATGCTATCTTATCCAGCAGATTCGTTTTATCTTTCTACCTGTATAAACTGAATTAAAATTCCAGTAAAACCCAGATTTTGAAATTCACAGGTTTATAGTGGTTTGGGGGTGTTTACAACTACGAAATAATTGTAAAAAAGCTCTGGCTAACTCAGGATGCTTTGATGGTTGGATTGCTCTATTTTCCTTCCTTCCTGGTCATAAAATGTGTCTCTGCTGGTCACCTTGTATATGGAAATCTAGTTGAAGACCACAATATGCAAGGTCTAATTCTTCCTTACGGAATTTAGACTCTGTGGCTAGATGTGGAGCCTCAGAGTTGTCTGATCTCTGTTAGCTCCAAGGATTGCAGCCATCCTTTGTTTTCATTTTCCAGTACTGGACAAAACAGAAGCTGATGCTGTCACGTAGATTCTATTCAAAATCTTGGCTTCCATGATTTATTTAAAACTGCCCTCCAAGTATTAACGCCTCTGCAATGAGGCAAGTGCCAGATATTAATCTACAAAAAATCAAGGTTAAGCTAATGAGTAGCAATCTTATGCTACCTCATATTAACCATTGATTAGCAGCAAACATAGACATTTGCTTTACAAAAATGGAAGCTGAATAGAAATTTAGTAAATTATGATTTAGAAAACCAAAATATCACTTCACATGGTGACAAAAATATATAACATAAATAAGCAGACAGATATAGAGCAGTACTGTTTTCTCTAGAAACTTACTTCCTGTTACTAGAGGAGATGTGAAAACAGATTTCTTCGGAAAATAGGAATTTTAAATTAATCAGATGCAAAAATTGCAACCACATACAACTTCTCTTTTCTGAAAATATGTGTAACTGTTGGCAAAACTGAACCACGACAAGTTAGTCCCAAGAATAACAGAAACAGAGGATGGACCATGTGTAGACAGAAATCCCCTTTTGTCTCAGTTCTGACAAATACTCCCAAGCCAGTAATCATTTTGGGAGGAAACTGTTTCTTCATGAAACACTATGATCTAGAGGTCATACTTTCTTGCCTAAGACACATTTCTGTAGTAAATCCCCCAGTTCTTGTTGTGCTTCAGGTCTTGCCCCACAGGCCTTTCTGTGAAGAATGAAAGGTTATAAAGCATGGCTTTAAAGCATGGGGCATCCCCTTGGGCAGATAGCCTGTGCAAATGCGGCCACTCCCACAGGTGAGACCCTTCGTCCTCTGTATTTCACCTGTGACTTATTTCATGGCTCTTTTCCTGCACCTCGTGCCCCCAAGACCGAAGACCACCCTGAATCCCCAGAGATGAGGCTGCAGACAGAGTGCAGATTCACCTCCAAGAGTGAAAAGCAGAGTGCTCTGCCCTGCGCCCACCCAGGGGCTTGGCACTTTGTCCCCATTTTCCCCTGAAAGAAAGAAAGAGCAGGCCTGAGGCAAGAGAAAGCCAAGATGCAAAGACAGGCAGTCTTCTGTCCGGGATGGGAAGTCTGCCCGGGCCCTATGCTCTGGGAAGCCAGACAAACCCCGAGTATGCACAATCCTAATGGCAGAAAGGGTTTTGTACAAATTTAGGAAAAAAACATCTTGTGTCGAATACCCACGTTTCATGCCATTTTCTAAATTTTTTTTTTTTTTTTTTTTTTAAGCGGGTATGTTTTTAAAGCTTCTATTTGGAATGGGGTATATATTACGCTGAAGATTTAGGACACCTGGGATGTTTGTGACAGCAACACCGCGCTCAGTACACGCGTCCTGCTGCCAGGAGCCAAGGGTGATGCAGCGGGCGCGGCTGGCGGGCCCGCTAGCCCCTTTCCCCCTCTCTCGCCCCCTCGGTGCGTGTCTCCGTGCCCCGGGCCCGGCCGGCTGAGGCGGGGGCCGTGCCGGCTGAGGCGGGGGCCGCGCCGGCCGCGCTCTCTTCCCGCCCGGCCGCGGGGAGGTCTCCTCGGGTCGGGGGAGGCGGGGCGGCGGCGCGCGGCCGCGCGGGGGCGCTGCGGGCCCTGCGCGCGGCCTGGGGGCTGCGCGTGCCGGCCGCGGCATTCCCGCTGCCCGCTCGGCGCGCAGCGGCCGGGAATGGGGGGGCTGCCGCCGCTCTGCCCGCGCCCCGCGGCTCCGGCGCCGCCTCCTCCTCGCTCGGCCTGAAGCGCGCTCTCACTCGTGGATCCCGGCGGGGAAGGGGCCATGGGCCGCCTCCCCGAGGCGCGGCGGCTGTGAGGCGGCCGGCGCTCGCTCGGGGAGCGGTGGGGAGAGGCTGCCGGCGGCCGGCCAGGCTGCGCCGGGGAAGGGAGTGCCGCTCGCAGCCGGCGGCGTTCGCGCAGGCAGCACCTCGGTGCCGGTGACTTGGGGGTGCCGCTCCCCGCCCGCGCCCGGCCGCGGCGGTGGATGGATGCGCCATGGCCACGCTGGTGTGCCGGGTGCAGCTGCTGGATGACACCGACCCCTTCAACAGCACCAACTTCCCCGAGCCCACCCGGCCGCCGCTGTACACCTTCCGGGAGGACATCCCGCTCGCCACCCAGCTGGCGGGGGTACACCGCCTCCTCCGCGCCCCGCAGAAGGTACCGGGGGAGAGCAGGGGCGTGTGAGTGGGGGGGCACGGGCGAAGGGCAGCGGCCTCCCGCAGCAGCCCGGCACGGGGAGCAGCGGCCGGCGGCGGCCCCCGGCCCCGGCGCGGCGGCAGCTAGGGCTCCGCGCCCGGCGGCGGGGCTGCCCCGCCGGCTCCCGTGCCCTGCCGGCGCTTCCCTTCGCCCCGGCAGTATCGGCATCTCCCTAAGTCCTGGGGAGAGGCCCCGCGGGACGGCGAAGGGGTTCCCTCTGCTGCTCTCCTGCGTTCCCAAGAGCTCTCAAGGGCAGCTACCGCCTCTGCTTTAGCTGTAGCTGCTTCACTCTTTCCCTAGAAGAAGAAAAGCCTCATCAAAGCAAAGGCCAAGTTGGTTATCGAGTATTCGGTGCCTGTCCTTCGCTAGCGTTGTCTGGGTATCTCGGGATACTGTGGGATAAGGTGGTGTGTCGAGCTAGCCGGGCTGCGCCGGGCACGGTCGCGCCGGCAGGACCCGGGCTCTGCCTGGTGAGGTTTAATGAGCCAGGCAGTTCCAGCCGGGGCTTTGGTAAAAATAGCAGCGTCTGCTGCCCTTGAAACAATCGGTGCTATTAGTCCCTCTTGCGAAGAACTGCAGCATGGTCCTTGTCAAGTCTTACCTATCTCTTCTTGCATGCTTCTTCTAATACATGTGCTGGCATTTGTAGCTTGCCCTTGAAATCCGGTACCCGAGCATTATCCTTAAATTTTTAGTTTTCAAAGCAATGCCATTCATTGATTGACATAATAATAATGTTCTTTCATTATTATCTTGTATCTGCACATTAGTTCTGCAGAATGCACTGAAGGAGAAAGGAAAAAATGCCCACTTTTTTTTTTTTTTTCCTACAAAGTAAAAGTTGTAAAACTTTTATTTGGTCTGTGATGAAGTGGGAGGAAAATACTCTCTTAACATCACTTGTTGTATTATGCTCATGGGAGCCTGCGGAAAGATGACAAAGGGCTGTGTGTCCCCTTAGATTTAAGGATATCTAAAACCCCATAAAAGTATTTCAGAGAAAAGCTCATGGAGCAGACAGAAGTTTTGCATTTGTAGAACGGTTTCCTTGCATAATAGTTGCCAAGGATACAGCATCCAGTGAACAGAGCTCTGCCTAAAGCACAAAAACTTTGGAAGCTCTTGGTGCGCTGGGTCAGTTCTGTTTTCATGTGCTCAGTCGTCCCCAATTCAGAGAGTGGTCCCATTGTTTTCATGGGAGGCTTTTTTTTTTTTTTTTTTTTTTTTTTTTTTTTTTTTTTTTTTTTGAGTTAGAGCTAATTAAAGAAAGGCAGGATGGATTCTGACACCTAATGAAGTGATAAAGAGATAGTTTAAAATCTGGATTTAGAGTTAATTCAACCTCATTTTCAGGGATATTTCACTGTGTTATGTTTCGTTTTGGATTGAATACTTCCCTGGCAATTTTTTATAGCTTTTTATGCTACCACTACCAACACTACCACGGTTTAGTGTCTTAGGAGCCAGCCAAAATCCATGTTCACTTGTATGTGCTTAACTCCTGCCCAGTCTTTCTGCTTGCAGCATTTCTCAAGTTTAATTAATGTTTGGAAATTGGACTTGCAGACTTGGGGTGAGAGATGGTTTATGTCCCTAGAGGGGCTGTAATCCTGGCTATTGAAATATAGCTGCACTGCTAGAGGCACGTCCTGGCCCAGTGAGTTGTTAACCTGAGGTTCTGCCTCTTCCAAAGACTTTGTTTCCGTTGTGAGGGTGTAGGCAGGCTCTTTGGAATCTTCTTACATGGTTACAGTTACCTTTGTGTTTGCAGAGCCGCCTCTTTCTGCCTTAATTATGTCTTTGGCTATCTTTGGGCTTCTGCAAGGTGAAAAAAAAAAAAAAAAGGGTTGGTTGATTAGACTTGTTTACCTTTATTCATTATAATGAAAGCATAGTTCCATGTTTGCGCTTGCAGTTAGGGCAGCATTTCTGTGTTTGGCATTACATCTTTGTACCTGTAATTCTGTAAAATAAACTGATTTGTGTTGCTTTTTTCTAGTTTTTTTTTTTTGAGGTGGGCATATTCTTTCTGCAGCCTTTCCTCAAGACCATATTCACTGTCAATAGAAGATAACCACATTATTTGACTAAGAAGAATTTTGCTCCATTTCATCCAGAGATCACGTCAAATTCTGATCCCAGAGGAATGCAGCTGTCAAAGCAGAGCATAGGTTGAAATTCAGGTGTCGATTCACATTGACACATCTAAGGTTTGATTGATTAATTACTTTGAAACATTGTGAGCTAAGGGACTGAGGGTCCATTTAGTATCATCACAAAATATCTTGGAACAGACCTAGATGTTTCTAGCTCAAATGGTGTCCTGCCTATGGCAGGAGAGTTGAAACTTTAAGGTCTCTTTCAGCCCAAGCCTTTCTATGGTGATGATGATGAAATGCATAGGAACACCAATGTCTAAGTAATTTCTGAAGTTTTATAAACTGCTGGCCTTTTTGCCAGCACGTTTGAATGATCAGTGCTAGGTTTTTTTCCAGCAAGTTTTAAGTTGCCATCTCTTGCCTTAGGTGAACGTTCACTTACTCTCTGAACAGAGCGGCCAGCTTGTTGCCTTCACACTACTGGATGATTTGCACATCTTTTAGATGATGTACTGCTGTGGGATGTACTTGATAGGATGAAGTCAGCGTCAGGAGTCCAGCACACTTCAGTTGGGTCAGATTTCGCCATTACTGTCTTGAAATTAGTAAAGACAACAGTGTAGTGACGATGGTATTTTTGTAGTTAGTAAAACAACTAGTATACTGCAAGTCATTGTAAGTTAAACATTATAAACAATTATTAAGAAAACCGTTTAAAAAGTAAACGAAAAATGCTTTGACATTCAGACCTATCATAATATGACATTAGTAGCTTTTTTATAACCAACAGATGTTCTATTTTGATTCCAAAGAGCAGGATTGCTTCACTCTAGTTCTTTGAAAGTACAGCTCAATTTCACATATTGGTTTTACTTCTTCTTTTCTTTAAACTCACACTTTTACTTGACTTTGGATGCAAGTCTAGATCTTCATTCTGAGCAGCAATGTTTTTAGATCCTTATGCAGTTTCAATGGGAAGTTAAGAAACTGAGTTCTGAGAATAATGTCTGGGATGGTCTTCGCTATCCTGAATGATGTGGAACACCTAAGCTGGCTGATAGGGAAAACTAATAAGAGTCTCTGTGATCTTTCTTTCACTTGGAATTGGGTGCCTAATTGTATTCTCCTCTCTCTCTTTTTTTTTCCCTGCTTCTCGCTATGCACATACTTTTCTCTACATCCAGATCTCTGGATACAGCAACTTCTTGTTCACTGAGTTGTGCTCAGTTCTGTCTGGCATACACTCTGAGCCTCATGGGGCAGAGCACTGCCATCAGGAATGCTTGTTTCAGCTATCCCCCGTGGTTATGAGTGATTTGGTCCTAGATGATAACACACCATCCTGGCTGATGATGCAATGAAGTACCACAAATTCTGTTACAGTATTTGTAACCACATCTACAAATTCTTGCTGAGTAACTATGCCACGTTGCAGAGTTTCTGTGGTTTGCCTATATTGATTTGGCTGCCTAAGGTGCCATTTTGAATTTGGCTTTTATTGTTTATGAGGATTTTAGGTCACTCTTACTGTCTGCTGTATGAAGTAGGACTGGATCTAGTTTGGACTCTGACTTCGGATGTCCCTTTTGCCCATTTCTGTGAACCTTGGGAAAATTCAGAACTGGGTCTAAATTTGTGGCTCAGGCCCTGTGCCAATAATGCTCTTTGAATCTAATTTGGTATATTGGGTTTGTTGGTTTTGAATTGCTTTGAGTTACTTGATACTTATAACTTGCTGACATAGGGTCGCTCAGGAGAGTAGCTATATATACATGACCAATGTCAAGTGGTGTGCTTTTTTTAGAGATCTTCTTCATTATAACTTATTCACATAATTACAGCATGCTGAGTATGTTGCCATAGTCTGTTTTCACATGCCACAGTAGTGTTCAGTGTTGGAGCAGCTCTGTAAGAAATACATCTTTACAATAATACAGGACATCATGCTGCCTAATTTATCAAGAAAATGTAATTGAAATACTTTGTGTAACAATGGAAAACAACAACCAAAAAATCTTTCCATGCATACGGGGTATTGGTGGTGATGGTGTAAAGGAGGGTTATGGTGCCATAAGGATAATATTTTTGGTCTCTTGTTCCCTCTGAGAAAACTGGAGACAACTTCTGTGTTTTAATGCCTTCCAAGAATTTGTAATTAGGAACAGTGTCATTCAGAAAACACTGGTATAAGCAAATAAATCCAGTGAGCGCTAGGGGGATTCAGGAGTTTCATTCATAAAGAAGCCATCCACATTTCCATCTTCAGCTGCTGTGATTTAGCCCTACATTTCAGCCATGGCTCACTCTGAAGCATGGTGTGATGTAAACTGATAGCACAATACTTCCACTGGTTGTGTCCTGGCATGGAGCTCAGCTCTGGCATTGAACTCTGTGCTAGGCTATACCCTGGCAGCAGCCTCAGGTTTTCTGAGAGCAGTAAGCCTACCAGCTGGCTCCTCTTCCCTGGGTTTCCTTGGCATTAAGTAATAATACATTGGTCCATAGAGGCTAGGCAGAAAAAGAAAAAAGTGTGGTTTGAATCCTGCTCCTGATGTAGGTACTGGTAAATAGAGCAGCTGTTCTCTGAAGAGAGCATTTTTGGGTTAGTTACTATATCGTTAATGGGAGCTGAAGAATAGAAGATGGAAATTGGAATATTGTTATTTTCCCAGGGAAAATGAACCCACACTTAAGGGAAGCTATCTGGTATCTTCTGCAAGTGTTGCTGCTGAGGACTGGGAAATACTTTAGTTGAGGGCTGTGAAGACACGTAGGTCTTTCATATTCTGCCTGGGGCAGGTGGACATCAGCCCTTTTTCATCCTTCAATAGAAGAGGGGATTTAACACAAAGGTTGTTTCCA